TATATACATTGATTGTTTTTTCCCTAGAGAGTGGTCACGTTTTCCTGCCTCTTCATATATTGGGTAATATCGTATATTATCCTGGAAATTGTGAGTGTAACTTGGTAGAATCTTTAGGTTTTATTACTTTGAAGAGTGATATTCTTATTTTAGCAGATAGTTAACTTGGTTAAGCTTAAACTATCATGTCTCCAATGGGCATTGTTCAGATTCTGGTTTGTTTTTTTTTACTCTTAGCCACAGGCAGCTTTCTGTTTATCTCATGCTTATGTAGGTTTGGGTTTAGAGAATTCCATTGAATTTAAACTGAATTTGGGGTGCCCATTCCTGGGTTCCTCCATTTTGGCATTCTTGATTATCTTATTTTTTTTCCCTTTGTTTATTCCATCTGGGAAGATAAGTTGGCTTTCTGTTGGAGTTTGCAGCCATTTTCAGAACAAAGCCATAGAAAAGGGAAAATTTACTGTGGTGTTTGCTTACACCAAGTTTTGACCTCTCTTCAAAATAATGCCACTATTGATTAGTCTCCAGAACCCTCAAATACTAGCTTTTAGCATTTAAAACTCCTATACATTTTATTTTATATATATTGTGCTTTATCTCTCTAGCTAGGCCTGGGTTCCAGACCTCATATTGCCACTGAGTCTATGAAATTAATGGAGAGGATGAAGTAATTTGTAAAGAAGTCTTTTCTCTTTCTTAGGGGTTGATAAGGTATAAGTACAATGGAAAGATCCTAGAAATGACATGTAAAAGCAATTGTAAGCCTGGCATGGTGACTCACAACTGTTATCCCAGCAGATGGGGAGACTAAAGCAGGAGGATTGTGAGTTCAAAGCCAGCCTCAGCAAAAGCGAGGCCTAAGCAACTCAGTGAGACCCTGTCTCCAAATAAAATACATAATAGGGCTTGGGATGTGGCTCAGTGTGGAGTGCCCCTGAGTTCAATCCCTGGTACCCCCAGCCCCCCGTGGTAAAAAAAAAGCAATTGGTAAACTTTAGGACAACTTCTATAGTTCTAGAACATTTTTAGATTGTTAATTATTTCCAGTTTGAGGAAATATACATGAGGATAAAATATGCCTTAAGACACCAATTTTCAACTTTTTGATCTTAAGACCCCTTTATACTCTTCATTTGTGATAATCTCAAAATAACATGGGTTATGGTATTGATATTTATTATACTAGAAATTAAATAATTAATTTCAAAATAACAATAATCCATTATGTTAATGCAAGAATACATTTTTATGAAAAATACGTGTTTTTTCTAAAATGAATTGAGTTGCATTATTTTAAGTTTTGTGAATTTAACTTCATTAAAGTTCATTTCTAGTTTAATAAACTACCTGGATTCTCACATCTGCTATTGTGATATCTATTGTGATATCTCAAATCTTGTAGATTCCGACACATTCTACTTTTATACTTATGAGAAAGTGAAAGTGAAAAGGGACATAACAGTATTATTATGAATATATTTGGAAACTTCATGATTCCTAGGGTAATGTTTTTAATTCCAGTATGATCTGAGATAATATTCATTTCCATTAATGTGTTATTTATAGGTTAACTGTCATTCTAAAATTAATGTTTAATATTGCCCATGATTTTCTTGCTAAAGACCCATAAATAGGAATCTGTGCTTGAAAATAAATGGACGTTTGTGATTTTCAGTTCTGATACAGTGTTGTATAAAAAAACAGCTAAAATCCAAATAAAAATGATACACGGGAGATAAATATGTGACATTAGTCACACTTGGAATAAACACATAAATAGAACAAAGAAACCCATTAGAAGATACGGGATGTTAAGATCTTTGAGCAACTTGTCTTGAATTATTTAAGAGGAAACAGAACCAGATCCCACATGGGCAGGGTTAATTTACTCTACTTATCAGAAATGAAAGCCAACAGTTCTGGCTTTGAATTACTTGATATATTTCTGTAAATGGGCCAGTTTCCGCACACGGACCATAACACAAACACAGTATGCGCACGCCGTCCTGTATTAGCTTAGTATTTGGATTAACTTGTAATTTTAGTTCTTTGAATCTTGAAAACATTCCTAATTTCATTGTGTATCCTGGAATAGAACAGGTTAACCCCCAGCCAGGGATAGTCCTCTTTTCTAAAGAGTTGCTTTTCTTTCTGCTTATTTTCTTTCTCTGCTTAGGTAGAATTCAATATGCATTTTTTGTGGAAAATTTTAGAAGAAATTGATCACTTAGCTCTTTGTGGAAAAAGGTTACTTCCTAAGACTTTATCTGTTTTTTTCTTTCCCTTCAGTGATAAAAGAAGATCCTTGGCTTCCTGATCGCTCTATATGATTGTTGAAGAAAAAGCAAATTTTGTCTTAGTTCCTTTTTCTTTCATGATAAGCAACCTCACTGACTTATTCTCCTCAATTTTTAAAATTATAAAATGCACAATCAAGTTTATGATCTCAATCATTTTTAAATGACTAATTAAGTGGTATTAAGTACATTATAATGTTGTGCTAATGTTGTGCAATCAACATCACCATCTATCTCCAAAGCTCTTTCTGTCTTGTAAAACTTAAAACTCTATGCCCATTCTCCATTACTTTCAAGCCCTGGCAACCACCATTCTATTTTCTGTTCCTATGATTTTGACTACTCTTAGTACTTAATATGTGGTACCATCATATAATATGTCTTTTTATAACTGGTTTATTTCACTTTGTTAATTTTCTTAAGGTTTATTCCTGTTATTACATATTGCTGAATTTCCTCCCTTTTTAAGGCTAATATTCTATTGGAGATATATATTTAGACTTTATTCCTTCGTTCTTACTTTAGTTTGGCAGGACAAAAAGTCTTTTGATTATAGTAGATCTAAATTCACAGAATGCAGAAAACATGTCAGATTCATCTAGGAGCACATCACTCATAAATATTCATCTAGAAGTCCCTCATAAATTTTCACAGTGTTCAGAAAATTTACTTAGGAATATTCTTTGTAAAGCCATATTTCACAGACTTTTAAGCCTAATGTAATGATTGGAAATAGCTCTTGTTTTTGTGCCTGAATGTCTTTAATGGATTATGATACCATCTGTTTAGAATCAGTATTTCAGAGATAAAGAAGAAAGCATTTGGGGTGAGAAATGATTGCTATAACTTACTCTTAACACAAGTTCCAGAAATCATTTTCCATGCTCCTTGTTTCAACAAGACCATAGCATAGTGCATCTTAGTTCCCAGACTTTCTCATTGTCTAGAAATCAAATCATGTTCTGACTTTTTTCTTTTTTAAGTTTTTCACCAGCTTATTTCAAGTCTTGGTAACTTTTTAAATTTATTTAATGGATTGGGTTTTTTTTTTCTATCTTAATTTTGATTAGCTATTTTATACCTCCAGAAGGAGATAAGAATTTATTAGGTGATCAGAGCTAAAATTACTGAAACAGAGTCTAAAAGAACAATATGAAGGATCAGTGAAACAGAATTGGTTCTTTGAAAAAATAAACAAGATTGATAATAAGAGGCAAAAATGGTGCTATTACAATAGATACCACCGAAATCCAGATGATCCCCCAAATTGAACCTAGAGGATTAAAAAAAAAAAAAAAAAACAACCAACAGACCAATGATAAACAGTGAAATTAAAGCAGTAATTAGTCTTCCCAACAAAGAAGCCCAGGACTGGACAGACTCACAGATAAATTTTGCCAGACCTTTTAAAGAAAAGCTAACACTAGTGCCCTTCATACTATTTCAAGAAATGGAAAGGAAAGGAACATTTATAAACTCATTCTGTAAAGYCAGTGCTATGGTTTGGATAATAGGTATCCCCCCAAATCTGATGTGTGAAATAATACAAGAGTGTTTGGCAGTAAAATGATTGGGTTATCAAAGCCCTAATCCAATCAGTGAATTAGTCCCCTAATAGGAATTAACTGGGTGGTAACTGTAGGCAGGCAGAGTGTGGCTGGAGGAGATAGTTCCTTGGAGACATGCTTTTTGGTGTGTGTATTTTGTCCTGGGTAAGTGGAACTCTCTTGGCTTCCTGGTGCCATGTTCCCAGCTGCTTGCCTCTGCCACACACTGTCACCATAATGTTCCGTCTCATGTCAGGCCTCAAAGAATGGACTCATCCATCTGTATATTGAGACCTCTGAAACTAAGTCCCAAACTCCTCTAAAATTGTTCGTGAAATCTTTTGGTCACAGCAGTGACAAAAAACTGACTAAACCAGCCAGATAATGCCACTACTAGAAAAGAAAATTATAGACCAATATCCTGCTTTGACACCACTGCATTGGAGTGAAAAAGGGTTATCTCATTACTACCAGTATGTAGTAGAAGTACAGGCTCCTCAGGTGGTGTTCATTGATTCTCCATGGACTTGTATTTATCAATATATTTATTAATATATATCAATATATTTATCAATATAGTTGCAATTAATAGTTCCTTATTGCCTAACAGATATGAAAGCCCTATGTGTCTTTTTCTGAAATGAGCTGGGAATTAGAGCACGGTGGTTCAAGCTTGGCAAGAATAGAAATCTAATTTTTGTTTTTTTGGATTACCGGTTATATAAATGAAGTTATTATATTATGTGGCATTTTAAAACTGGCTTCTTTAACATAGCATGATGTTTTCAAGGCTCATCTGTGTTGTAACATGTATTGGTACTTCTACCACTGAGATACATCCTTAGCCCCTCCATTTTTTTCTTTACTAATAATTTTGTATCTTGTATTACAATATCAGGAAAGGAACCCAAGATATTTTGTAGTGTTTTTGGGCTCTTCGAACCATACCTAGACTTAAGATGTGCTTCTACTCTTATTCTTGGCTTATTTCTATAGTCTTTTCATTAAAATGATAGGGCTGATAATTAAGTTACTTGAGAATTAAGGTTTGATGAATATTAAACCATTATTCATTTGAAACATTGCTAATGAATAATTATTTATAGTCATGAATTTTCTATTCATAAATTTACCTGTGATTTTATTTACTTAGAAAAAAGAAAGTGAATGCCTGCAATTAAAAATTTTGGTGCTTCGCAATGAACTGGAAAGACAGAAGAAAGCTTTGGGACGGGAAGTAGCATTACTGCATAAGCAACAAATTGCATTACAGGACAAAGGTGAGTTGAAACCCCATATAAACAGTGTAACTTCCACATTCAGTAGGTTTTCTACATAGGCTCAAATAGTTATCTTTGTATAAATATATTGATAGAACAATCTTTAATTTTAAAAGTATTTTTGAGGAATTTTGAAGTTGATATACACAGAAGAGTATACAGATTCATACATACATATGTGCAGCTTGAATTTTCACAAAGTGAATGCACCCATCTAAGTAGACCCTTAYATCAAGAACCAGCATTGCCAAGACCCCCAAACCTTAGAAGCCTTCACTTCCTCACTTCCATTCAGTACATCTCCAAACAGATCAACCATTACCCTGACTTATTAAACCAAAGATTGGTTTTACCTAATTTTGAACTTTATAGAAATAAAATCATATGTAGTTGCCTTCTGTTAAGTCTGTTGAGGACCCTCTGTTCTGTTCCATTAATTTGGTTTTCTACCACAGTTTCACTGTTTGAATTTTCTTCATGTTATAATAGGTATTAATATATGTTAAAGTTCTTAAGTATATTGTTGTTTTTTAAGTTCATCTTTGTTATTTTGTGACCTTTTGCATTTTCATTGAATTTCTACACAAAGAAAAAAAAAGTTTTGCAAGGAGTTTGAGGGAACTGCTTTGAGTATATTTATCAATATAGTTGCGATTAATAGAATCTTTACAATAAATCTGTTGTCCCAAGAAAATGATATATTTCTTTGTTTATTAGATCTTCTTCAGAAAACATTATTGAAATAAAGTAGTTGTTAGTATGTGGATTTTTCTCATGATTAATTGAATTTATTTTTGATTTTTTATATTTTTTGGCACTATTGTAAGTATCTTTAAGTTTTATTTTCTACATGTTGCTGCTGTATAGATATATAATTAAATTTTTAAAGTAATACTGATTTTTTATTATATTGCATTTGAAGAAAAATTTACCAGAAGCCTGATCCAAAGATTAGCATTTGTTAATGTTAGAATTCTGACCTTGCAACCATAGTTCTTGCTATGATTATTTATTTGTTATAATTTGATGACACTGTAATCAAATAATTAAATTGTAATTTCATTATAGTTTAACTTTAATTATATTACAAAGATATCAAAATTGCAAAAAAAAAAATTGTTGTTGTTTTGATACCAGGAATTGAACACAGAGATGCTTAGCCATTGGGCCACATCCCAGACCTTTTTATTTTTATTTTTAATATTATTTTTTAGTTGTAGTTGGACACAATGCCTTTGTTTCACTTATTTATTTTTATGTGGTGCTGAGGGTCTCGCATATGTGAGGCGAGTGCTCTACCACTGAGCCACAACCCCAGCCCTAGCCTTTTTAATATTTTATTTAGAGACAGGGTCTTGCTGAGTTGCTCAGGGCCTAAGTTGCTGAAGCTGATTTTGAACTCATGATTCTCCTGCCTCAGCCTCCTGAGCCACTGGGATTAAAAGCATGTGCAACCATGCCTGGCACAAAAATTTTAAACATATTTACTGAAGTCTAATTTACGTACCTATAAGTCACCATTTTAAAGTATATTATTAAGTCTTTTTTTAGTTAATTCTCAGGATTGTGCAGTATTCACAACTCAATATTTAATTTTTGCTAATTTCTTCTAAAAGAAAACTGATACCTATTAGGCTTCATTCCATATTCCCCCTATTTCCAATCCTAAGGGAACACTAATCTATTTTCTGCCTCTATAATTTACCTATTCTGGGGATCTCACATAAATGGAATTATATACTATATGGTATTTTCACGACCAACTTCTTTCATTTAGCATATTTTTGAAATATTTTCAACCATACTGTTAGTATGTATCTGTACTTCTATAAATTTAATAAAGTATTAAATTATATGTACATACTACATTTTATATATCCATTCATCAATTGATCGATATTCAGGTTGTTTTCACTTATTCTCATGAATAGTGCTGCTATAAAGTGTTTTAGTCCTACTGATGTTGTTAATCTATGGACCATACTTCATATAGCAAGGATATGTATGATTTGACAAATTTTTAAACTGAAGTGATCTTTAAAAATAGGAATAAAACAGTTTTATATCATACTTTGGTGGGTTTCTGTACCATTAAATTTCAACCCAAGATGCCTTACAAAAGCCTCCTATGGTTCACTTCAACTGGAATACTTGAGCCACACTAAACTTCTTTTAGTTCCTTAAATAAGCTTTGCTATGTCTCATCTGCATTCAGTCCTTTGCTTAAATGCTAAGCATTCACTCTACCACTAAGCTATATCCCCAGTTTTTATATGTTTTTGAGATAAGTATTAGTTTGTATTTCCCTGAAAATATTAGAATCATTAAAAGGTTAGGATCTAGTTGACACTGTTTCCTCGTGTAAGTAGGAGATAGAGAGGTGCTGTTGGATTCACTCTGTGCCCACTGGAGTCTCTGTAGACTGGAATGATCACACGGGGGGGAGTGGGAAAGAGGAGGTAGCTGGATGCAGATCATCAAATATATTTATTAGTAGATCCTATATTAAAGTAAATTATAGGGATTGACCTAGTAACCAGAGACATTCTATGATATAGGCACTTGGTTCTGAGTCCATAAGCTCAATTAGAATATAAAATCACTAATATATGATATCTAATCTTTACTTTGCTACTGATTTTTGTAGACTGACTCTAAAGGAATTATTTAACTTCTGCATCTTTTTAAACATCTGTTCCATAAGGCTAACAGCCCATAATAGTGCTATAGGAATTAATTTTTATAAATATTTGGAAGAAACCAGGTGCCTATTATATATTTTATGTTTTTATTCATAAGAAATCCAATGCAGCAGAATGATTTATTGGAAAGAAGATAGAGAATTTCTGTCCATTTTGCTTACTTGCCTGAATGGCCCCATCACTCTGAAGAACTTTATTACTCTCTACACCCATGTTTTCCCTTCCTGTACCTCGGAGATGGTAGTTCTCAACTTGTGATCTAGAGCAACTTCCAGCTGAGTCATGACTGATCTTTTCAGTATTAATGTGTATATATTTTCATTTCTGGAAGATTTTAGTAATTTAACTCATGATATTTAATTAAAAAAATAAAAATAGACTTCCCCTCATTAGTGTCTGAAGTCATAGGACTTTCCCACTAATTAATTATGTTGTTTTACAGTCTTTGGTCCTAACCCAACCCCCATATCTTTTGGAGAAGCAACACTCTACCAAAATTAGTTTCTGGAAATTTGTTTTTAAAAATGATATGTAAAGTTGCTTTTCAGCATCCTGGTGCTGCTACACTGCAGAGCCCATGCAGTAACCCAGCCAAGATGCTGGAGAAGACCCAAACCCAAGACTAGCCCACAGAGGACGAGAAAGTGAAGACCTTCATCTTCCAAGCAGAGATTGCCTGTTGATGTTATTGATGATCAACACTTTCTCCTCAAAGAGATCTTCCTGTGGGAGCTGATTTCCAGGTTGTCCAGTGCCCTGAACAAAATCAGATATGATAAAATCAGATATGACAGATCCAGTAAGCTAGACTCTGGGAAGGAGCTGCACATTAATCTCATGCCAAACAAATAAAACCAAACCCTCACGATTGTGGTTACTGGAACTGGAATGACTAAGGCTGATCTGATCAATAACCTTGGTACTATAGACAAGTGTGGGTCCAAAGCCTTCTTGGAGGCTTTGCAGGCTGGTACAGACATCCCCATGATTGGCCAGTTCAGTGTTAGCGTTTATTCTGTGTGTCTGGTTGCTGAGAAAGTGACTGTGATCACCAAACACAATAATGATAAGCAGTATCCCTAGGAGTCTTCTGCAGGGGGCTCCTTTACTGTCAGTACTGACACAGGGGAACCAGTGGGTGGTAGCACAAAGATTGTCCTTCATCTGAAAGAAGATCAAATTGAGTACTTGGGGAAAAGAAGAATAAAGCCGATTGTGAAGAACATTCCCAGTTTATTGGCTATCCCATTACTCTCTTTGTGGAAAAGGAACGTGATAAAGAAGTCAGTGATGATGAGGCTAAAGAATACGATAAAAAGGAGGGAAAAGAAAAAGGAGCCTGWGACAAACCTGAAATTGAAGATGTTGATTCTGATGAAGAAGGATAGTGACAAGAAGATTAAGGAGAAGTATATCAATTATGAAGAACTCAACAAAACAAAGCCCATTTGGAATAGAAATCCTGATGATATCACTAACATGGAATACAGAGAGTTCTATAAGAGCTTGATCAGTGATTGGGAAAATCACTTGGCAGTGAAGCATTTTTCTGTTGAAGGACAGTTGGAATTTAGAGGGGTTGTTGTTGTTTGTCCCAAGATGTGCTCCATTTGACCTCTTTGAAAACAGAAAGAAAAAGAAAAAYATTAACTTGTATGTATGCAGAGTTTTCATCATGGATAACTGTGAGGAGCTAATCCCTGAATATCTGAACTTCATTAGAGGAGTGATGAACTCTGAGGATCTTCTCTRTATTTCCTGTGAATTGTTGCAACAAAGCAAAATTTTGAAAGTAATCATTAAGAATTTGGTTCAAAAAATGCTTAGAACTATTCACTGATCTGGCAGAAGATAAAGAGGCTCTCAGAGCTGTTACAATACTACACTGTCTGCTTCTGGGAACGAGATGGTTTCTCTCAAGGACTGTTTCACCAAAATGAAGCAAAACCAGAAACACATCTGCTGTATCCCAGGTGAGACCAAGGACCAGGTAGCTGACTCTGCCTGTGTGGAGTCTTTGAAGCATGGTTTAGAAGTGATCTATATGATCAAGCTCATAAATGAGTACTGTGTCCAACAACTCAAGGAATTTGAGGGAAAGACTGTAGTGTCTGTCACCAAAGAGGGCTTAGAGCTTCCAGAGAATGAAGAAGAGAAGAAACAAGAAGGAAAAAAAGACAAATTTTTTGAAAAACCTCTGCAAGATCATAAAGGACATCTTAGAGAAAAAGGTTGTGTCAAACTCATTGGTGACCTCTTCATGCTGTATCATTACAAGCATCTATGGCTGGACAGCAA